AAATACTTTTCGCAAACAAAAGCCGCGGGAAAAACCAGTGAAATGTTGCGTGTCCTAGGTACCCTGCAACTACAGAATATTGTATTTTAGTACTTATTGCAACTATCATGTTACTAATGTCACAGATAACATAATACTAGTTAATGTGAACATACCCTGAGGCAGCGTGTAGGTACACAAGTAATACACTAGTCCGTGGCAGTGACACACCACTTATTGGCATTCTACGTTGACGACGATACATGTAAAGCATGATCGACAAGATATTACTATTTTCTAGAGCTAAGAAAAGGTCTAGAATCTAGACCTTATCATGTTGACTCTCTAATTTTTAATTTATAATAGGAACCCACTTTCTTAGATTAACGATTATGCAGGGAACTATCCATCTCTTTCATTAAACGATGGTATTTCAAAATTGTTCCAATAAAAAATCCTTCCGCGAACTAAAATCTTTTTGAACTACCTACTTGTGGTTTGTGTAGGTACAGATTTCAGAAATAATTCGAGCTGTATGTCAAGGACGTTTAAATGGCATAGCTAGCTAAGATTTTCCTATTCCACACACGTATCCATAGATCACGAACTAAAAAGAAAGTAACTTGAATAGATAAGAACCTAAGTTCTTTTAGTACCTAACTTGGAGCAAAATAAACTTTACTGCAGGCAATAAATTTTGAATGTATTTGTTTCAGTTTTCTTTTACAAGTGAGGAACAGTCATCGGTCCATCGAGCAGGTATGCATTCTTCACTGTTGCCGAGTCGTGGTAAGTACCAACTTCATCTTTTGTTGTTTCTGCAATTTGTTATTTTAAACAAACTGTTACTTTAGATTGTTCCTTACTTTAGAAGCAATGTATATGTAGGATGTACTGGTGACCGCACAATAAGTTAAACTCACGGGGGTCTTATTTCGTTGTAATACAGGCTATTTTTCAACAAAAGTATAGTGTGATGTGTCAACTGTAAAATAAACAAACTGAATTTATCCTATACTAGCGGCCGCCCGCGACTTCGTACGCGTGGATCCCGTTTTACCCCCTTAAGGGTGGAGTTTCGTAAAATCCTTTCTTAGCGTATGCCTGCGTCATAACATCTACCTGCATGCCTTTCAGCCCGATCCGTCCAGTGGTTTGGGCTGTGCGTTGATAGATCACTATATCAGTCAGTCAGTCACCGTTGAGTTATATTTAGACTTCACTCACTAGTCATTAGCTTACTTACAAACCGATCGAGTTAACTGCGCATCTCACTGGAATACCTCTCCCTCGCACTCACCCGCACACCTCCCCGCGTTCGCCCGGTCCGTACCAGAGCGTCGATGTGACGTCACGGCTGCCAGATGCGCAGTTAACTTATGTTTTGTTAACTTGTGTTTGTTAACGGGTTGTACTAAGATCCAGACAATATTTTACTCGTATATCAATATTGATTTAGTGATTTTGGTATGAATTTAAACGCAAATATACAATAAACTTTCGCATTTATCAATGTGGATTTCCTTGTTTTCATAATAAAACATTTCTGCATTGTTATTATAATAAATAACTGAATAATTAATGTAACACATTAATATAACATTGTATAACTGCCTAAATTGTAAGACCTATAAATGTGAATGCTAATGTGGTTATGCAATAAAAGTATTGAGTATTGAGTATTGAACACAATAACAGAACAAAATCAACGAATTAAACTAATATTTTTTGCTTAGCTGTTACATAAGTGACCGTATTTTTCAAGACTGTGATTTATCGGTTTCCTACACACTCTTCCTGTGATTTATATGAACGAGTTCGTTCGTTCGTTCGTTTCAGCCGAAAGACGTCCACTGCTGGACAAAGGCCTCCCCCAAGGATTTCCACAAAGACCGGTCCTGCGCCGCTCGCATCCAGGCGCCTCCCGACGCCTCATGTATCTACTAGTTTTCAGTCTTCAGCTGAACTACTATGTAATGTAATGTTAAGGAAAACATCTGAAATTAAAACATCCCCTTTAATTATTTTTTTAATTATAAAACTTTTAAGTTACAGTTGAATAAATATAACATTTAAAGGAGAGCCAATCACAAGTTTAGACAGAAAACAAATAAAAGCGGGCAAATAATTATAATATTTCTTTTCACATTTATAGTTTATAAATACATAATTATTATTTGATTAGTGACTAGGAATTTAATACCGAGTTCACCTAGGTAATGTGCTTATGTTTTGAATTGTTTTAGTGTTTACTTACCTACCCACGTTAACTTATTTAAAAATGTTTTAGTAGTAGAATGTGTTTCTTTTATTGGCTTATGTTCAAGTTATATCTTCCTGCAAATTTATGTACAATTAAATGCTGTTGAAACATTGTTAAACAAATAAAATAAATAAGTAAAATAAAATAAAAAATGGATTAAATTATTTATTATGAATTACAAAATTGTTCACTCTGTAAATAATAAGTACCTATTATATTCGGTTAAACAACATAGAAAACATCCAATTCATCGTTACAAACAACAATGTTTGGATTACATACATATTTTCTGTCTAGACACTTAGAGTCACATGTATTTTTATTTATTTATTTGGTTCACCAACAATTAATTACACCAATACAATGTAGCTACTTTATGCGCTTATTGTGATGTAAAAATACATCATTTTATAGCTATAAAACACAAAATGTCTTTTTAATATCGTGTATCTCAGCTTACAAGTAAATTATAACCTTATAAGTAATGGTTTAACCACAATTAATAGCGCATCAAGTGAAGACGAAATTCGCAAAAAATCCACAGACGAACAATGGAATTTTCCCATAAGATGTGTCACTTTCTCATAACACGTTAGATACAATTTAATAATGCAATTTGATGTGGTAGAGCTGCGGTAGAGCAAATATAGGCTGAGTTGCTGCACCATCTAACTTTAACCGTAAATATAACGTTAACCGGTGTTAACAAAAAATATTTTGTGTGGAGGTTGACAGATTTTTGACGTTTGTCGACGTCGAAATAATGAATGATGATGACGTCAAATTATTGTCACTTACAATAAGTTAAGTACAAAAAATATGACTTAATTCTTATGTACAAAATAGTTTATAAACTCAAGCACTATCCCATAAAAAGCACCCACAGTTTTTATAATGTAAACTAAAAGTAAATACCTATCAATCAATTAACTTTATAGAACGATACTTACAGGCGTATTTTAATTTGTAGCACAATTAATAACGCCCTAGAGTCAGTCTTCTACCCATAACTATTTTATAATACCCTAAACAATGTAGTTTGGTTCCCACATTATTTTTGCAAATTTAATAAATCACACGATATGTAACTAAATAATTACTGGGCAATTAGTACAATTAAACAGTGGGCGTTCTCAGAGGTTAAGTAAGTTGGCATTTGAACAAATTGAATCGAGAAAGGACAGGTTTTGCATTTAGATACGCTAAGTCGTGGATATCTGAACAATTAGTACCAAAATCTTGATGGTATTAAAAAGCTTGTGATTATGTCAGAAAAAAGGCTTTGCATTTTTTTCCATGGACGTCGTAAAGGCAATATTTAATTTTATTTATTGCTTTACCACATCAGCGCATACTTAATTCAAGCTATTATTTGTCTCTTAAAAGGGGCAGTTATGAATTTGGTACGAATAGCAGATACCTCTTCTAATCCCTCTGGCGCATACTCCTCATAAAAAAAAATCAAAATCATTTATTCAGTTTAGACCACAAGTGGCACTTATGAACGTAAAATATAAAAAAGAAGAGGTAGCCCTTATGGGGCACTTTATATGTCTCCTTATTTTTTGGGCCCTACCAGATAGATTGATCAAATCTTCCATTTGCCTCTGGAAATTAGCAAGAGTTAGCATTGGAGAATAAATGACCTGATTATGTTGTTAATAACTACTATTCTCACTCTCAATCCTCGTTCCTCATTCATCCCTAACGTTTCCTCCATGGACCAATCATTCCTCATCATTCAACCTTCAAATCATAAACTATCTTTCATCCGTCATCCCACTATTCCGTTACACACATAATTCGTTAATCCTACAGATCGGTCGTCCTGCACCTAGTCTGGCCTCAGACTATCTCTAAATCTAACACTATACCTCGTTACTAAAGAATTTCTCTTGAGGAACACTCCTTTCGGTCTAAAAATCTTATTAGATTCCTATGTTCAATTTTATAGTAAATATTATTTATGAGGGCTGTCCTAGTTTAGACAGTTAGATTTTCAAGGTAAGAGTGAATAGGCACTTACAGGACAGATATGAACATCATAGACTGCATCTCCACCAGGTGCGATCGCGGTCATATACCTGCCTTGTTAAGAGTAGGCGCACACCGTTGATTTTTAGTTGGCCGATTTTAAATTGTATGAAGAATCGGCCAAATCGAATCGGCGTAGTGTGCGCACTCCCATACATGCCCATACTGATCAACTGCCCGACTAAACTAGCGGCCGACGAAAAATCAGCGGTGTGCGCCTACTCTAAGTATGCGTAAAAAACAATTGAATGAGGAGATTTGTATGAAGTAGGGAACAAAACTACCAAAACCGTTTATTCAATCACAGATTTTCAATTTTACTATACATTGACATATTTTAGTGTAGTATCTGCCTTATTTTTAGCTCTACATTTACTGGTTTCTTCCCAATTTCCAAGATGTCATCTCAGGGTGTAATAAGTGGTGGCTATTATCATTCAACATCGTTAATGTATCGAGTCTACAAACAATCAGTGAAAGAAAAATCTTTTTTATAGCACGAGCGAAATTAATTGCTTCAAACGACAATAGCCCTTTAATCCGTATCGGACCTTCGTCTGCAATCAAAATATATCAAAAGAAAACTTTACTTTTACCGAGTCTTACATGACCAAGCATTTATGAAAGTCAACCTTTTTAGCTAGGGTTACGGTTCAGTTTACAATGTAAGGTGAGTGTGTACAGTACGCCGATGCTCAACAGTCTACCATAGCGACATCACCGACGAAACTGTTCAGTCGTTGTTTTGGCGTTTGAAACAAAAAGTGCAAGTGTGTGTGAAAAAAGTTTTGTGTGTGTGAAACCATAGAAAATGTGAGTATTTCATCAGTCTATTTTTAATTTGGTTATATTTTAAATCAAGAAACTATTTTGTCAAATTCCACTTGGAATTATCAGATAAAGTTCAAAATCGTATTAAAACATAAAGAAGACATTCAATAATAAATAAAAGTGTTTATAAATAACGGTGTTTTCAAATCTCCATATTATACGATCTAGTGATCTTTATGTCATGCATTTGACTAATTACTTACATAAACTAAAAATCAATAAATAATTAAAATAAATTCATAAATCAAATAACTCTTACGATACAAAATAAGCATAACATAATGCGCATTTATTAAAGGGTAGAAGTAGTGTCATCATTAATTTCTTTTGACTCTACACATACGTAATATTAATTCGCAGTCGATTTCAATTATTTTAAAAATATCAGCAAAATATTTATTTCAAACAATAATTTAAAAGAGAACTATCACAATACCTTGTACGTAATATTTATTAACTTTCATCACTGAAAAACTAAACGTTCAATACATAACATCCAGTTAAATGTGATCCAATTTTACTGCTGTATCAAGATTTGGTGCTGAAAGCAACAAATAATAGTAAATTAATTAAAATTATTAGTTCACGATCTCGAAAAATTATGTATAAAATCACGAAATATTTTGATCTGACATTTATTGGGTGAGAAAGTTAAATTTTATAAAGTGTCCTACTTCACGTTTTTATTTTATAGTTACGTATGAAAACAGTCTGTGCAATAGTATTTTAGTATTTTTCAAGAGTTCATATCATTTTGTAATTATATCGTGTTCATATTTCAATACAAATTAAAATAAGTATCGCTTTACTTAATTTTTACTGGAAAACCGACTGCCCTAGGTAAGCATTGAACTTACAATCTTTTCCTTGCAACTAGATTTATGATAATTATTCTAGCATTTAAATTATTTGCTTGTATTTGTGTCTGTGTTGTTAAAAAACTCATTTATTTATGCAAATAGGCTTTTAAAAAGCACTTTTACTCGTCCTAGTATTAACCCAACCACTGCTTCAGGACAATAAATGGGCCAGAGCTGAGAAGAAGCGCAAGAAACTTAGGCTGGGTTGCACCATCTTACTTTAACTTTGACAAACGTCAGAAATCTGTCAAACTCTATACAAAAAGCACCGGTTATCGTTATAGTTACCGTTAAAGTTAGGTGGTGCAACTCAGCCTTAGTGTTGGTTGTTCTAACTAATAAAATAAAATATTATTATTGAAAAAAAACCATGCGGCTTCAATGTCATTTAAATAGCTTATCATGATTTCTTGCGTTTTAAAATATGCCTATGGATTTCTTTTGATTATATCATTTATTAGGCATGTATAGTAGTTTGCCATGACTTTTGACATCACTTCGCCAAAATAAACATGGCTTCCATCCACTTTCTTCTCGTTAGCTACCCACAATGAATAACAAGGAGCCATTGTACTACCGCTACAATGGTTTAATTTACAAGTTAAATCTATCGATTTCCATCTCAAACTGATTGTTTTCACTTGTTAACCAGTGTAGCTTTTTTAGGTTTTGAGAAATTTTGTTTTTGTGAATCACGCATACTTGACTCGCAATTTTTTATCGTTATGATGACTTTTACTAAGCGAATCCTAAAGAAATATTCAAAGTAGATGGTCTTTCCATTACAACATTTATTCCATAACTGTTCTTGCTTACTAATTAAGTAGTTAGTAGCAAGTCACAAAATAAGTACTAGCGACGATACACTTATTTGGTAAAAAACTTTAGGGTGAGCTTATTACTAGCTTAAAATTACAACAGTAAATTGCTTTCATTGCCTACCTAAATAATCAAAATATCAAGGAATCATAACCCTGTATGTCACTAAAATGTTAAGAACAACTTCCAAGATATTGAAATGAAAAAACAAAAGCATTTTACGCAAAAAGATTTAATTACCTACTAATCACACCGTTTGGCAATCTCATGTCACTTCTAGCAACCTTGTTTATTTACTAAACAAATTATAGTGATGTCATATCCAGTACAGTGTGCCTACCATCAGTTTACGTTAGGTGTGCTCGCTAGCGACTGCGTAAAAAAATGACATTAATTGTATGACATATTGTGCAGCGCCCCTAGCGGCTACTTTCAAGAAACAAAATCTTCATAGAGATTTTTGACGTACTCGCTAGCGAGCACACCTAACGTAAACTCATGGTAGGTACACTGAGCAAAAGTGCATCATGCCTCTCAGATCCAGTTGACGCTCCGAGCCACTGCACCGATGGTATCGTGTAATAATAGCGAGCGACTCCCATAATTGCTGCCTCGGTTTACCGGCCCAGTTTATTCTGGGGCGATCTTCACTTGTTTTAGAAAACCAACGTGTGCCGAGGGGTTAACAAAGTAGTTTTTTGGACGTAGGCAGAGTAAGCGCTTTTTAGTACATATAAAAATAATTTTTCGAGTAGGTACATTTCATAATTGCGAGCCTATTTGTACAATACACAATACATTCTAATATTATGTACGAATAAAGTAATAAATTATGTCCTACATGAGTAGTAGATTATTTTGATACGTGATAAAAAAATAAAAACTTGAGACAATACACTTAAAAAGCGATGGAAGGAATAAACTTTAAACTATTAGAAAAAAAAAACATAGAGAGTAGTAAAGGTAAAAAAAATCTCAGACGCAATTACGTTGTATACCGTAATTAAATTTCTTTATTTTCGGAGAGTAATATTCACTTCATTAATAGCTTGTTTTAAATCCAATCAATTATTTGAGTGCCTCTACTTTTACATGAGTTGTCAAAGAAAACTTGCAATAATTCTATTTTATTTATTACATTTGTAATAACAGTACATTATGTTTTTTATCCTGAAAAACGGTAAAAACAAAAAACACTAGTCACTAGTAGTCTGGTTTCTCCAATTTTAATTAATTTACAAACAAATATACAATTATTTAAAAAAACTATTTACACAATTTATTTTAATTCCTACATGCGATTATTATTGCCTCCTGATTCCAGAAAAAAATATAAAAATGCGTAAACAGAATCTATTGCAAACGTTTAGTTTTTTCGCGACAGTTTTTTACATGAAATCAAGCAGTAGTAGTATTACTTCATTCGTTTGAATTTAAGAAGTAGAAAGTAAAGAAATATAATGATTTGTTAATAAAATCTTAATTTAATGCTAAAGCAAAAAAGTTGCTGTTTTCTGAAATAAGTAGTATTTTTAACGGCAATGTAGAAGCTAATATCGTGGTGTTTTTAAGAATAGGCCTCCAACTGTGAACTTTAATTACCTTAGAAAAAGGTTAAGTTCGCTTAAAAAAAGTAGAGGTGCTCAATTCATATGTTTTTTTTAATATTAAGTAGGTATCTTTAGTTATAGTAAAAGAAGTCGGATAATACAGTAACTCCTATTAAAATAATTATATGCGTTTATAACGTTTTAAACTACCCAACAGATTTGAATGCAGTTTTCAACAGTAGATAGAGTGATTCAAGAGGAAGGTTTATATTGTTTCTTTAACCGAAGCCGGGGCGGTTCGCTAGTCTAATGATTTTTTATACCTATTGTTTTTTTTTATCCACAACGAGGAAGCTCTTGGCTTGTATCTCACCTGATGGTAAGTGACGATCAAGCCGAAAATCAAAAACAATAATTTAAATCAAAAACGAGAAATTAAATCAAAAACAATAGCAAAAATGACTCATAAGTGTACATGACTCAAAACTTGTAATACGTATATTAGATATTTAAATCAATTTGCTATATACATATCTGAACACTCATATAGGTACATATTCCCATTTCTCTTCCATATACTTTAGCTAGATTACAGATTATGATCTACAAGATAAGCACTAATTATATTACTAAGACTTGTAATTAGTTATTAATTATCAGCTAAAGAATGATGTCTATGTAAATTGATTACCCACAATAATGCACTTAACTAAGGTAGAAATTAGCAATTGAGTGCAATAAAAATACAACATAGATGGAGCTACTACATCAAAATCTAATTACTTACTAGCGATCCGTGATTAGTACCTATGTGTATATTGGGGTGATACCTCTTTTGGATTAGGGTTCAGTATGAAGAAAAGAGAGTAATAAATCCGTACTTTTAACTGTCATTCGTCTTTCTCAGCTGTCATTTGTCTATGTCGTCCGAAAATTTTAAAATGTTCATAGAAAATGCTTGCTATTTTTGTTGTCGTGGACCCGTTGGGAATCAAAGTATGAACTAAACAGTAGAGCTGCGGACCTTTGGGAATAAGCCGTCGCCCGCTTAAAGGCCGCTAAAGGTATATTCACATAGGTAAATAAATAGCCTAATAAGTGCTAGGTACCACTGTATGCTTGTCTCTGTATTGGGTCGAATGTAAATATACCTTTAGACTTGCGTAATATGAGTACTCATATTTTGCTATCATTTAAACGTACCTTAATAAGATACTGTATAAAATTACATGCTTATTTAATCGCTTGGAACTAATATTGATATACTGACGATCATTACCGTTGTTGTCTGTCTATCGCTATCACTCATGCAACGAGTAAGAGAGACAGATCAAAAACTTTGTACGTAGAGAGTAGACTCGACTATAGAAATAAGTTTGACAGCCGTGACAAAATACATTAAAGATGATATTTAATTGACTTATAAATCCTAATCAAGTATTGATATTGAAAACGACAGCAATCAAATATTGCATCATAATTGGCTCTTTGTTTGTAAAAATATAATGATTCGATTGATTAATTGGACGGTCTGTTTTGAGATCTTTATTGATTAATCGACGAACTAAAGTCGCTGACATAGCCCGACGGATTAGCAAGCTGAAGTGGGCAGCAATGGGCAGGGCACATAGTACGCAGAACTGACGGCCGATGGGGCAACAAGGTTCTGGAGTGAAGGCCGCGTACCGGAAAACGCAGCGGGAGACGTCCACACACAAGGTGGACCGACGACATCATAAAGGTAGCAGGAAGG